TACACTTTTGGTGCCAGCTTGGTCACACAATTTCTTGGAAAGCATGATCTTGACTTGATTTGTAGAGCACACCAGGTTTTTATATGCTTTTGCTTTTGCAAATTTTGAGTTTACAATTGTGAAAAGTGTTCAAGTGTTGTGTAATATGCTTGTGTGTTTCTTTCTCTAGGTTGTTGAGGATGGATATGAGTTTTTTGCTAATAGACAACTTGTGACTATCTTTTCTGCTCCTAACTACTGTGGAGAGTTTGACAATGCTGGAGCTATGATGACTGTCGATGAGACACTTATGTGCTCTTTTCAGATACTGAGGCCAGTGGAAAACAGAAAGCCTAAGTTTGGTGTTGGGAGCAAAACTTCATTCAAGGCTAGTGCTCTTTACAAAAGTCTTGATCTTTTAGTTCTTGAATCATGTTGGTGTACATTTTTCTGGTAGTTTCTTGTTGTTAGATGTGGAACCAGTTCGATGAATCCATCAAATTTTTCTATCAAAAACACTGCACAAAATCGTTCTGAGTTTTGTATTTCTTTCCTTTTGAAGCAGGCAATTCTTGATGCTGCAAGAGTACGTCCTCATTGAGCTGACTTAGACCAATAATAAAGTTTGTAACATAACTAAATTGACTTGAACAAAGTCACAACTCTGTTCACTTCAATGTGAAGGAAGATTTCAACCAGCAGTGCAAGTTGAGGTCTATGAAGAACATAGGAAAATTTATGTTTTCTTTTTAGTATAGCTCAATGTCTTTTTATGTGCTGGAACATTCTCATCATGTACAATGTTGCCACCACAATTTAGGGGTCAGGTTTCACTTTTCCTTTGTTTCAGTTTTTTTATGTGAGAGACAGTTATATGTCCACTGTTGTATTATAAATGGCAGCATATGCATTTTGGCTTTCTTTCCTGTCACAGCAATTCATTGTTTCAATATGATAACATGTTATTTGTGCTATAAATATGCTACTTCTTCCATAAACATGTCTGATCAAACGTGTTTTCATTGTCTAATACCAGTAATTAAAGCTTAATTTAGTTGGATTAGAAAGGTTATTTGTGCACAATGAGAACATGTTTTCTGTGTTCAACAAACCATGCTTCGTTACATATTATGCACAAAACACACTCTGTTTGAATACACAGAACACATCATCCTAACAGAACAAAAACACGTATTGACTGTGATTACAAAGATATTCTTTTTTGGTGTTAGAGTTTGATAGGGTATATTGTTACTCTTACTATTTTCTATTTAATGGCAATTATATGTGATTTAGTTTTATTCCATTTTAATTTATTGTAAATGTTAACAGTTATCAATGAAAAATAACAATTAAATTTAAGGAAAGAGATAATTAAAGAGTAAAAATAATAAAAATATTATTTTAATTTTAAAAACTTTAAGGATAAAATTAAAAACAAATATTATATATATATATATATATGGGTTTGCTAACGCGCGTACGCCTGTTTTTCAGTTGGTACATTTTAGCAATGTGTACCGGATTTTAGTAAACAAAAATACCCTTATATATCATGGATTCTAACTTTTAAGGTTAAGGGTATTTTAATAATTTTTATTCGTTGGGTGAAGTCAACGTTAGAGCTACTAACTTGGTAACTTGGTGGTTACTGGGTGAGAATAATCTCGTTGGACAAAACCAAAGTTAAAGAGCTAAATGACTTGACAGTGGCTGGACGACATAAGTCTCACTAGGTGACTTTAGGAGAATTTCAGTTTGAGTTTCAATTATAATCTCGTTGGACAAACTATCTGATCATTGGGCGAGTGTGTGCTTTTAAGTACTACTCATTTGGTGAATAGATATTCTCGCTGAGTGAGATTAACAAAACATTACTATATTTTCTTATATTTTCTTTTGGTATGTTTAATGTGTGATTTTGTGAATGTTAAAATGATGGCTTGTTTATGATAGTCATTTGAGAATGGGTTGTACTAATAAAGGAAGATTAGTTGTGGTTACAATAGTGTATGTATTGATATATGAATTTTGTATACGGAGTTATCTTGTTGCTCTAATAATCATCCAATCTTAAGTAGAGAAGGGTGAAAGATGTGGTAAGAGGAGCATGATGTCTTAGTCTAGGGATTTTACCTTGGTCAAATGTTAACAAACTAGTCTTGTATGTACTAGAGTGAAACTCATTGACGACTCTGCAAAGCAGTAGAGGTCACCACAAGTGTATAACTCACCCAAGTCTAATATTAATATATGTATTTGGATCATCTAATTTAGTAAGTCTTTTGTATGTGATATGATGTTGTTATGAATGATTATATGTGATAATATATACCTATTTTATGATTACTTTTTTTTGTACATTAACTTACCTTTTCTTTTGTGTTGTTTTGTTTGTGTATTATTTTTATTAATAATAATCACTTTAATGGCGGAAATAGGTAATGTAACAATTGATATAATGCAAGACAATAATGGTATGTGTTGTTATGAATGATTTATACATGATAATATATACCTATTTTATGATTATTTTTTTTTGTACATTAGCTTACCTTTTCTTTTGTGTATTTTTTTTATTAATAATGATCATCTTAATTATGTGAACAATATGGCAGTATAGTTTTAGGGTTGATCTTGTTATGTAAAATCTTTTTCTTTTTGTCATATATGGAGTACATGCTTCTATGAACGAGATGTTGCAGATAAACTTTAAATTTAAGGATTAAAGTTTGAAGTACGTTACAAATTTATTATTTTATGTTTTGATGAATATAAATATATTATTATTAAAATATAATTATATTTTAAAAATCTTTAAAAAACTAATTTCACGCGCGCGCATATATATATTTTGTAAATGAATTATTTTATTTCTAAGTGTCCTCAAAATATCATAAAAGTGATTTTGTTTGTCGTTAATTTCCACTTAAAGTAAGTTTTTATTTTTGTAAATCAAATGCGACTTTTATTGATTGTGACACCAACTGGTTTCTTTTGTTCCCACATAATAATTAATTGTATTTTCTTGCAACTACAAAAGCATGAGATAATTTGCGCGTTATTTGACTCGAATAATATGATATAAGCAAATAATAGCGATATGATATGTAAACTAATAATAATTAAAGAACAAAAAAAAAAAAAAAGGACAATGTTTTTGATTTGTATATTAGAGACATTATCTTTATGTGTGCTACTTCTGGTCCACATGTCTAAAAAAAACAAGTACGTGTTCGAAACTTGTACGTTTTGTACTTGTTTTCTTAATTTAGTGTGTTAGTATTATGTAGTAAATAGTTGCCTATAAAAGTTATTATTTGTGTTATTATCACATCTATAAATGTTTAAATAAATAACTTCACTTAAAAAAAATAAAAAATAAAACAATTGAGTGACAAGTTAACAATTTCAAGTACGAATTTCTGTAATAAAACTTTGAAATTTTTTTCAGTTCTCTATTACTGTTTTTTGTATTTCTGCTTACTTTTCCATTTTAAATTTTGTAACATTTTATCTCTATTGTTTTTGTTTGTCTTCCTCTAACTTTGTAGTATTTCTGCTTACTGCTATTAAAGTTTTTAGTTTTTCTTACTGCTATTATGTTTGCTTTTATTAAGTTTTTGCTCATTGTTTTATTTTAAGTTTTTTTCTTAGTATTTTTTATTTTTTTTATTTTTTTATAATGTAAAAGTTGTAATTAAAATATGACGTCTTTATCGCTATTTGAAATGTAAAATTATACTTATATATATGTGAGGTTTAATTTATTTTTTTACTTACGGGAATTTCTACGCAATTTTAATGAAGTTTTACTTATCATCATGACTTTTCTATTGATTTTTTACATATTTTCTCATAGAAATTTTCATGTAATTTAGTAAAATTATAATTTGAATGGTAAATTTTGAGTGAACTTTTTTCTATATTAAGTAAAAGTCATTTTAATTTGAGAGCTTCTAAGATTTTTTTTCTTATTTATTGACTTTATTTAAGCAAAATCTTATTTATACGGTAAGTATTGTATGATTGACTTATCAATTAACACCCACGAATCGTATCTTGGTTTAATTTTTTTATGGTACAAATGTTAGTTTAATTGCAAATTGCTAATGTGGCTAACCATAAACGTGAGTTTGAGTTGTTGGTCAAATCTTGTATTATCAATTTGTTCAGAAATAAGGCAGTTGCATCATTGCATGTGTCATGTTGTTGTGTTGTGTAATTACACATTATTATTCTCATTATTTATTTATTTAGTTTAATTTAGTCACAAATTAAGAAAATATTTAATAAAGATAAACTAGTTATTAAACTGTTATCGATATTATATAAATATATATATATATATATATATATATATATATATATATATATGATAAAAACTCATTTCAATCTTACCCTTTTGCCTTAAAGAGTTTTTTTTTTAAATCAAAGTTTCGTATATTAACAACAGTTTTCAAACGCTCTCTTAATCCGTCGACCTGGATTTTAAAGACAAAATTAAATTACCATGAAGCCACCAAAGTTCAAATTAAACAACATCCTAATATTATCTTTTTTCTGTCTTTTTAAAACAAAACAATACCTTTTATGAAGGTAGTGTATTCCAGATTAGAATAATAGGTTCCTGCACGCTATCATCAAGTGTACTACTTTTATATATGTTTGGAACGAAAACAAATCATAATGAAAATGTGATGAATATATAGAAAATAAAGGGAAATATAATTTTTTTTATAAATTTGTGATAATTAACAGGTGAGGAAACATGAACATGTAACATATTGTTGGTTTTGCAGCTAATACAGTTGTTTCTTTCTCCAAGTAGGAACAATACCTCGTTGACAATGCATAAACTAACATTTTTTAGTGTTGTTTGTGAAGAGTTGACATATTGAAGAATATGAAAGCTCAAGCATATGCTGCGGATGCTGAGTATATGCTTTTGACTTTGGAAGTCTTTAATTCTAGGGATGGTTGGTACTATCTTATATATATATGTGTGTGTGTGTGTGTGTGAAGCTTCATTCAATGCCATGCCATATTCTTAAACCTTACAAAGTACTTCTTCTACTCCTTCAGTCTGGTTTGGCAAGCTGGTTTGTGTTCTCTCTCTATCCCTCTTGGTTTGGTTTGAAAATTCTGCTGTTTTTTTTCTTTCATGTAAGGAAAGAGTTTTCCTATAGCAAAAATATGTGTGATTTTGAGATCATTCTGATATATTTCTGCATGATATGCAGTCACCAAATTTTCAATGGATGAAACTTGTCTGTGTGTAACATTAAAATTTCTGCATCCACAACACAATATTTTGGTCTCTGGACCTTCATCAGAGACATGAGCATAAAAAAATTTAATAAAAAAACCTTCTTTCAAAATATATCTAGTTCTTTATCCAACATAAAATAGTTGGCTTAATTAGGACTGTTATGCCAGATAATTTAGTGCAAGAATCAGTTCGTTTGAATATGATCATCACTAAAGTTTTTAATTCAAAATATCCATGTCTTACATCAGCTCTTGGAAAGGTCAAAATTAGCTGCAGCAGTTTCCCAAACTATCATTAAACATAAGTAAATTATAAGAATCGTACAATTGTCTCTTCTTTATGCTGGAATTGAGGTAGAAAGAAATTGAAATTGTAAGATATTTTGTTTGCATGTGCAGAAAGCTTGTAGTGAATAACAATGGTAGGAGAACTCAGAGTGTTGACTGCACTTGATGTGGCGAAGACACAATGGTACCACTTCACAGCAATTGTGATAGCAGGAATGGGTTTCTTCACTGATGCCTATGACCTCTTCTGCATTTCCCTGGTTACTAAGCTGTTAGGGAGACTGTACTACACAGAACCAGGTGCACCAAAGCCAGGAACTCTTCCTCCAAGAGTTCAAGCTTCTGTCACTGGTGTTGCTCTCTGTGGCACCTTGGCTGGTCAACTATTCTTTGGTTGGCTCGGTGACAAATTGGGGAGAAAAAGGGTCTACGGTCTCACTCTTGTGCTCATGGTGGTGTGCTCCCTTGCCTCAGGACTCTCCTTTGGCTCCACTCCAAAGGGTGTCTTGGCCACACTTTGCTTCTTCAGGTTCTGGCTAGGGTTTGGGATTGGTGGTGACTACCCTCTTTCTGCCACAATCATGTCTGAATACGCCAACAAAAAGACTCGTGGGGCATTCATTGCAGCAGTGTTTGCCATGCAAGGATTTGGAATCTTGGCTGGTGGAGTAGTCGCCTTGATTGTTTCATATGCGTATGACCAAAAGTACAACCTTCCCACATACGAACAAAATCCAGAAGCCTCCATTGTGCCGTCATTTGACTATGTTTGGAGAATCATTTTGATGTTTGGTGCAATTCCGGCAGTACTCACCTACTACTGGCGCATGAAAATGCCTGAGACTGCACGTTACACAGCCCTCGTGGCCAAGAATGCAAAACAAGCTGCTTCAGACATGTCTAAGGTGTTGCAAGTGGAACTTGAAGCTGAAGAGGAGAAGGTGCAGAAACTGACACAGGAAAAGAGCCACAGGTATGGTTTGTTCAGCAAGGAATTTCTCAGACGCCATGGCTTGCATTTGGTTGGAACCACCACCACTTGGTTCTTGTTGGACATAGCATTCTACAGCCAGAACCTTTTCCAAAAAGACATCTTCAGTGCAATTGGGTGGATCCCTCCAGCACAGACAATGAATGCAATTCATGAGGTATACATAAAGTTCATGAACTAACTAGTGAACAAATTTTGTTCAAAAATCATGTTTTCCCACTGATTTTCTTGCAGGTATACAAGATTTCAAGAGCACAAACACTGATAGCATTGTGCAGCACTGTGCCAGGTTACTGGTTCACAGTGTTTCTGATTGATTACATGGGCCGTTTTGCCATCCAATTGATGGGGTTCTTCTTCATGACAGTATTCATGTTTGCTTTGGCTATACCATATGATCATTGGACTAAGAAAGCAAACAGAATAGGGTTTGTGGTGATATACTCCCTCACCTTTTTCTTTGCCAACTTTGGTCCAAATGCCACCACATTTGTTGTGCCAGCAGAGATCTTCCCAGCAAGGCTTAGGTCAACCTGTCATGGAATCTCTGCTGCTGCAGGAAAGGCTGGTGCAATTGTGGGAGCATTTGGGTTCCTATATGCTGCACAAAGCAAGGACCCTAAAAAGACTGATGCAGGCTACCCTACAGGAATTGGGATTAAGAACTCCCTCATTGTGCTTGGGGTTATCAACTTCTTTGGAATGTTGTTCACCTTGCTGGTTCCTGAATCAAAGGGTAAGTCACTGGAGGAGTTGAGTGGGGAGAATGATCGAAGTGCTGATGCTGAGCCTGAAGTTTCTGCTGCGACAAGTCGTGTTTGATTGAACTCTGATCTAAGTTTGTGTATTCAAATTAATGTGTTATTTTGTACATTTTAATACTTGGTTATGGTTGTGAGATATGTTTGCACATGATTCATTATGTCGTGGATGTGCTAGTTTGTATGTTTTTGTTTGTCTAAGATTGATACATGGTAATTGTAGTTTTCCTTTTTGGATAAAAATAACAGCAATAAACAATACAGAGTAATACTCTATTACACTGTCTTAAATGCAATATATGTTTGATAATTGTCTTAATATTTTTAGAAAATCATAATTAATAATAATAAGATTAGATACATTTTTAGTTTCTAAATTTTCATACGAAATTGAGATTCGTTTCTAATGGAAAATTTGATATATTTTGACTCTCAAGTTTTAAAAGTAAATAGATAGAGTATTTTAATTTAATAGCTTAAATATTTTTGACATGTAAAACTTGTTTATTAGTTAATATTAAAATGAAAATTTAACACGTAAAAGAAAAATAATTTTATTAAAAATATTATATCTATTGTAAAATTCTGTATTAAAGTTTTTGATAAAAGTGAATTTCAATTTTATAAAATTTAAAAACTGAAAATATATTTATCTTATAATAATACATGTTTACTGATATTATTATATAAATAATGCTAATAAAATCGTAAATATAAGTTGGACTTAGATTTTAACCGTTAAAATTTTTATTTGTAATGATTTTGAATTGTTAAATTTTTAACCATTATAGATATCATGTTTGCCTAATTCTCTTAACTTTTCAATATATATAATATGGATTCTTTTAAGACATTTGATAATAAAAATAAACGGAATATGTATATGTATATATTATTTATGAATCAGGGAATAACTTTTGAACTACTTAATAATTAACACTAAGAAAAGAGATTTTTTACATATCATATCTATCAATTAGAAAAAGATGGTATATCTTCATCATTCTTCTTCACATGATTGTACACTGTATACTCATGCAAAGTCAAATGTCAACGGTGGAAATATTGTGCAATTGATTGAATAAAATATTGCAGTTTAGTTATTTATTAATAATTTATGGAAAAAAAACTAAATCAAAATAATCAAGTAAGTAAATTATCGTAAGCATGACAACTCAATTAATTAAAGATTGTAAATGATTAATTAACTAATATTGTAACTTACAATTAATTAACCCAGAATCGATTAAAGTCAAATCCAATGATATCCGAATCTTCTTTAAAAAATATAATTTTTCATGTCTGAGCTGAGCACGTAATATAAAAGTTTTATAATAAATTTTGGAAATTTTCTAAAAAAAATGTAAGGATTTAAAAAGTTATTTTTCTCATTACACTTTATTATAGTTATAGGAATCCTTCTGATTCATTTTGGTTTTTGTTTTTTACATTTGTTTTTTCTCATTACACTTTACTTTTGCTTTTTACACTTTAATAAAGAAACAGCCTATATATAATTGCCACGAACATCACCAAAGTGAGTTTTTAAATATGAAGTTTACGTATATATTAATAGAACTTTCATTAGACTCGAGAAACCTTTTTGTTTGGATAAATTTCTCTACTAATATATTTAGAAAAGGTACAAAAATTATTATTAACTTCATAAATTAATTTATATTAATTTTTTCACATGAGTTTTCTAAACTTTTAGTCCAGTCCTTGCGAAGAAGTTTGTCTACACATGTTTCAAGTATATAGGTTATTGATATCAGAGTTAAGTATGATTTTAGTTTTTGATGTGAAATTAAAATTCATTTTTATTCAAAATTTTCTTTTATTTTAATCTTTAAATTTTAAAAATAAATAAATATAAATCTTTTAATCTAATTGTATTAAATTTTTTAGATATATTAAATTTGTTTTATGTTAACTTTTGAATTTTTTTAACATATTTTTACTTCAAATATTTGTTAAAAAATGTGCTTGACATATTAAAAAAAATTAATATAATTAAATTAGAAAGATTATATTTTCATTTATATTAAAGTTTGAAGATCAACATGTGTTAAAGTTTTCAACAAAAATAAATTCCAATTTTACACAAAATATCAAGAACTAAAAATATATTTAATTATTCATATTATTCTTATTACTAATGAAAATACATGTTTACTTTTTTTAAGATAGTAAAAACTAATAAAATTATTATTATTGCTATTTTTATAATTATTAAATTAAATATAAATATTTTTTTTTCTAATTTTATTGTAATTAGTTTTTATTTATTTTATATAATTTTTAACAAAAAAATGATTAAGTTTAAGAAAACGATCAAATAGCAAAAAGTGTGGCTAAATTTAAAAAAAAATGTAAAATTGATAAAACAATTATTTTAATTTTAAAAAAAACTTTTATTTAAAAGGTAAAAATGAAAAACAAATGTGAACACAAAAACATGAGAATAATATTTTATATATAAATATAGATTATTCAACCAAATTAAGGAATATTCTTCATTGTCACTTTTTCATGAGTTTTCTCACATGTCTTTTGTAGGAAAATTTTACACAATACTAGTGAAACAGAAGTTCAATTTACATAAAAAAAAAAAAGTGAACATTATATTTAATTTAAATTTTTAAGAGAACGAGTTTATAAATCTTATTTTTTATAAAATCTACAACTTTTTTTTTTATCTCTATTCAGTATGAACTCATTCTTAGATTTAAAAGAAAAAATGTGTATATAAAGTGACTACGAGAAACTCATGGATACTTCTATTAGATGGTTATAAAAAAAATTATCAAAATAGCTTCTTTGAAGTGGTAACTGCTACACAGTTTAAACCCTTTAAACTAAGTCTACAGGACTTGTTTACAAGTATACATGCACACCTTACCATTCTTCCCATGACCAATTTGCTGAAGTACTTGCTTTCTATACACTTTTTCCTGCAGGTCACTTTAAGAAAAAACATTTTTCACATCCAATTCATGCAAATACCAATCATATAGCTGTAAGAGGTACATAATTTTATAGAAGCAAGTTAGCAACTGAAGCAAATGCTGAAGAATAATTTATATCAGCACAATCCTAAGCATCTCCAACAATAGTTAATGCAAAAACCAACTTTAACTTATGGGAAAGTTTATTTCCTTTTTCCTTCTTCCAGCACTATTTGTGGAAAAGTTTATTAAAATAAATCTTTAGAACTTACCAAAATCTGATAAGTCATCGTAAAGAACAAAGGAAGAGATAAGATAGATATATACTTTTACCCTTCCACAGTGATCAGATGATCAGGTAAATATGTTTGTCTGATGTTTCAATCCTGTGTTATTCTATTTTGATTTCAAGATCTTTAAGCCTTTATTAAAATTAAGCATGCATGCCTTAATGAGATAGAAGATATAGAAAAGTAAACATATACTGAAAACATTAAAGAGTAAAACTTAAATATGGCACTTATGTTTTCCCTGCTGAGAAGTGTAACTAACACTGTATACTACATTTATGATTGCAAGCAGCATCACCCTCCCAAAGCTCCTGCATTGCAATTATTAACTATTAGCAGCATACCAATTGAATCATTTTTCCCCAAGAAATTAGACAAATTTGAATAGTATAGAAGCTTTCATGAACTACTGAACATGCTTAATGCCGCATCAACATTGTTCAATGAATCATGTGTCCTAAACTTGCTCTTTGTTCAAAACTGTCTTTTTACTTCTTTTACACTTTGGAAATAGCACAAATACTAATCACTAGTATCTTCAAGGTGCTGGTTAATAAACTGAGAGTTGAAAGTGTATATTAAAAGAAATATTTACTATATGAAAAACAGAAATAGTTTAATATTTGCTTATTTTAAGTGAAAACATTTAGTAGTGTACTAAATGTTCATAAGGTAGACCCTTGCAAATATAGTTGTACTTACCATCTTTGCTAGAACTGGTTTCCATGTCCAGCTGATCTTGCCATGAGCACCTCATATTGGAAGATGAGGAACACTGTTCTGGGACAGAGAATGAATAAGTGCTTGAACTCTGCCTCCTGCATGAAGATTCAGCTGTGGAGGAAATCTCTTGATCAATGCTTGACACTCCAGTGTCCTTGCTAAGATTTTGTGAACTTTTCTGCTTATGATTGATCTCTGCAGAACATTTTAATCTCTTTCTATGAGGAGGATCGTTCTGGGGTTGGTGAAGTGTTGGCACCTTCTGATCATTAGATGAAGAATTGGCCGGTGGAGCCTTGTCCTTCAAGAAAACTTTTGGAATGGCCAAATTTTCACTTTCATCAACAACTTCATGTCTTCCTTCTGAACCAGACCCTTTTGAAGCTGCCTCATTTTCCCACATCTTGAATATAGCTTCTCTTAACTGTTCTCTTGCCACATCTATGTCGATGATTGGTTTTGGATAGTTTTGTCCCAACTCAACTCCTGATGCTCTTAGCACAGTAAGGGGTGCATTCCAAGGATGGTGAATCCACTCAGCTGGCATTCTTGCCAACTCAGGCAGCCATTGACGTACATACTCTCCTTCTGGATCAAATTTAGCCCCATGAATCTGTTCCCAAAGTGATAAAAATTAGAAAAGTTCTACTGCTAGCTTTAATGTGTTAGGATTTGCCAATGCTTTGAGTAAGTAGTATTTTCTTCTTGTTATGTATATTTTGACCAAAAGAGGATCTTTTTGTCTATCTTAATATAAAACCAGATGTAGTCACTTCAAAAATTTGTAAGTAAACATGAACAGAAAAGTTTCTACAGATACCAAATGCATCAAAGAAAATCTGAATTAAAATCTATAGCATTTTACTCCCACTAGGACCAAATAAATCTAGGAAGCAATTTGTCTAGTCAAACTCAGACTTTGAATGTTGACACATGAGGAAGTAAAGAAAACAAAGTAAAGTGAGAAAAAAAGGAAAGAAACTTCACTTCAGCATAATCAAATACAACAACAAATTCTGATATACTGTATAGATTGTGTTGATCATACAAGCATAAAAATGAATATAAATTATGAATCTCAGATACTTGAAACCTACTATGACAAAGAAAATGTACAAAAATTTACAAGAAAACATGACATACCGCAGGATCATCTAAACGCTCAAGCTTGTGGCCATCAGGTAAGCAACCTGAGATATACTGCCACCCCAAGATGTCACTTTCAAGGTCTGCATCCAAAAGTGTGTCCCAGAAGTATTTCATTCCCCATCTCCATGGTATGAGCAACATTTTTAC